TATATTTCTAACCGGAATCCCGATCGCGATGATTCAATTTATTATTTTGTTCGATATTTACGCACCGCAACTTGAGTTGTAACTGGCCTTAAAAACTATAGTTTTACTCAGAAAATCCAGTTTAATTCCAGCGGTGAGCAATTTTCTTTGTGCTCTCGTTACAACAACCGCTTCATTTTGCAACCTTGTCTCATCAAAGCTTTATCGGACCACAATCAAAACTAAAATCCTTCAAATATTTAATGGATAGCTGTCAATCTTGTTTTGGATTTGGTTCCTTTTCGGTACAGATTTGGTTCCTTTTTGTTTATCTTGTTTAGATTAAAAGAATTAAACATAGGGCAGATTTTACATGGCAATAAGATCTAATTCCTTTACAGATACTGTTGTTTATTTGTTTTTTTATTAAGCAAGTGTCTTAATATCTTAATAGTTTTGTGTCAAAACGGCACTTTAGCATACTACTTTTCAAAGCCGTTTTCAAAAGCGTCAAAGGTTCGGATATCTCATATAACAACTGAAAAATATTTGCACGACATGGGAAAAGTAATCGCGCCGGAAAATAGATTCCTCACGGTTTGAGTGATGTGAACAAAGCAACTCGAATAATTCTCTCGGGAAGCCTTCTCAACAAATCAAAGTACAATGGTTTTTGGGATTCGATTTTGACTTCCGATGAAAAGTGAATCCACTACGATAATACTAGCAGAAAAAGGCAGTGGTTAGGACCGGGAGAAGCACAGAAAACGACGCTAAAACCCGACTTACATGGAAAAAAGGTGATGCTTTGTGTCTGGTGGATTTCCAAAGAACTCGTACATTTCGAGGTTCTAAGTCTCGGTGATACTTTTACAGGACTAGTCTACGGTCAACAATTGGAACGGATCGATTGTGACTTATGTGTTCGAGGCATTGAACCATCGACTATACAGTAGCTTCAGGATAGCGCGGCACACCGCAAAGATCACTCTAGAAAAAAATTGAGGGGTTGGGCTGGGAATCTCTCCATCATCCGCCATATAGCCCTGACGTGGACCCTTTAGATTCTCACCTATTTCGATCGATGCAACGTCAATTGGCCGATAGCAAGTTTAAAGACTTAAGCGAAGTTCGAATTGGTCAGATATTTCGACACGCGGCCGGCCAAATTTTTTGCTAATGGGCATTGAAGCAGGTTCTAAATCTCGGTGATACTTTTACAGACTAGTCTACGGTCAACAATTGGAACGGATCGATTGTGACTTACGTGTTCGAGGCATTGAACCATCGACTATACAGTTACCTTCAGGATGTCGTCGTCGTCGTCGTCGTCGTCGTTCGTCCTCAAACGGCAAAGATCACCCAAGAGAATTTTGATCATACAAACAAATTTGCAATGTAGAAACATCCATTTTATATTTTTTTTGAAAAGTGTGATCTTTGCTTGTGAAAATCTCCATTGACTACTTGATTTTGAGAAAAAAAATGTAATTTTTTGGTTGATTCCATCAAACAATAGGATTGGATTACCCATTTTCCTCATTTTTTCGTTTCTTTGATTCGAAAATTTGAAACAATTCTTCATTAGCAAATCCGTCAATAGCTAAATATTTTAAAGTCTTTGAAAATTTAACCATCACTTCTAGATGAAACGATTTTCACTATAGTTGGCCTCAAAACTCTTTTGAAATAAACTTGAATGCCGATAATTATCGGGTTGACTCTTTAATCAATGGCTTAAACCAATAAAAAATAAGAAATTTTGAAATTTGACTGCTTTTGACAGACAAATTTGGCTGCTAGCTTACTTCTCATTTAGTTTATTTGTTGATGACGTAGAGCTTTGGATAAACGACAAACTCAATGAACTCGTCAAGCTAAAAGTTGGTTCATTTTTTTCAATAAACAATTTTAAAGGTTCTGCTTTTACTGTTGTAGGAACATTTATTTCAGAAAACTTTTGTAGATCAAATCAAAGCTTTTCCAATTGTCCAGCTAACAAAACCAACAGTCTGTAAATCAGGCCAAGCAAAACCAAGTCAAGCAGATCGACACCAAGACTAAGACCAGGTTTAGATCTAGCTTTTGTTGTGGTCAGGTCTGCAGAGGAAAGTTAGACCAGCTTAAACTAGGTCTAGCTCTTTGTCAGCAGCTTTTTTGTCAGATCTAGCTTGCCAGAAGCCAGATAGGTCTAGATTTCGCTAAATCTAGCAAAATTTGCTAGTTTCACCGAAAAATTCGCAATTTTGGACGAATAACTTCTTTAAAATTTGAAATTTTTGCCTTGTTGTCTGTCTTTTTAGAAGCTAGATGCAATTCTGCGTTTGCAAATATGTAAATTATTTTCATTCGATAATAGATTGGCCAGAAAAGCTGGGTAGTAGGTGATCAATGTTTTGAATTATTTTGGTTACTGGTCTGCCATTAAATCAAAATAATTTACACATGTGTAAACGCAGAATTGCATGTCTTCTGGCAAGCTAGATCTGACAAAAAAGAGCCTAGTTTAAGCTGGTCTAACTTTACTCTGCAGATCTGACCACAACAAAAGCTAGATCTAAACCTGGTCTTAGTCTTGGTGTCGATCTGCTTGGCTTGGTTTTGCTTGGCCTGATTTACAGACTGTTGTTTTACACATGTGTAAACGCAGAATTGCATCTAGTTTCTAAAGAAAACAAGCAGCAAGCAAAGGTTCAAATTTTAAAGAAGTTATTCGCTGAAGATTGCGAATTTCGGGCTGAAACAAGTAAATTTTGCTACAGGAAAGTGAAATAATGTTTACAATTCAAAACAAAATTAATTCCTTTTCGTAATCAGAAACAAGACAATTTTCTTTTTTATTTTAATTTAATAATTCAAGTCGCAAAAATTTCACCTTTTCTTCCGCCTTGCTTAGCATTTGCTGATTGAAAATTACCCCCTTTCACCTGTCTTCTGTATTTTGGCAGACTAAGATTGACCAGATTTTGTACTCGATCTTGCTAGATTGCTTTTCTAAACTTTCATTTGATTTTTAAAAGTCTTTTACTAGATTCAAAGTGTTTTAAAAAGTCCTATCAAACATTCCAAAGTCCTATCAACTTTCTAATCATTCAAACTCGATCTTAAAAGCTGGAACGTTACAGGATTCTCGAATTTTAGCCTTAACCAAGGAGGGTATTGCGATTCTAAACTCTAAAGAAACATCGAGGTTTTGAGGAAACTCACTCATTTTTCACGTATCTCATTTTCTTCAGCCTGAAGAGATGACCACCTGGTGAAGCTTATTCTGCCAAAATCCAGAAGACATTCTTTCACCTTTTCTTCCGCCTTGCTTAGCATTTGCTGATTGAAAATTACCCCCTTTCACCTGTCTTCTGTATTTTGTCAGAATTAGCTTCACCAGATTTTGTACTTGATCTTGCTAGATTGCTTTTCTAAACTTTCATTTGATTTTTAAAAGTCTTTTACTAGATTCAAAGTGCTTTAAAACATTCAAAAGCTAAATCATCTTTGGTAAATTTGAATTTAATATCAATTTTTGATTTGAATTATTGAATCAAATGATTTTTTAGCTTAAATGATGAGCCAACATGGTGCCTTGATTCATCCATCGTTTTTTGAAGATTATTTTATTTATCTAATGGTAAGTTTAATTTGAGATTTGGTTTTTGATTGGACTGTAGCTTGAAAATGGAATTGCACTTGATTAGAGTCTTTAGACTCTAAATCTTTACGATCTTTACGAACTTTACGATCTTTACGATCTTTAGGCTCTCTTTAGAGTCTTACTGGGATTAAGTGCACCAGTAAGTTTGTGTTTTCATTTGTTGAGCACAAAGTACAATCAGTAAACGAGTTTTCTACGATAACTGAACTTTCAGCTATTAGAAGTGATCTTATTTTTTTTCTTGTTGTTAACTCTATCGATCTATTGGCATTTGCTTACGAGGAAACGGGTAAATTTCAAAAATATATTAACCGAGATTGGCTTTGACCTCAAAGTTCAGGTTTTCCATCCAAATTTGAACCTGATCCTCCTCGTGCAACCAATTTTGGTCACCATTGCCACATTTATTCGATTGCTTCGACACACTTTGGACCTCATCGGATTCCTTGATGCCAGCACTTTTCAATTGTTTTCGTTTGCTGCTGAATCGTGTGAGGACTTAATTTCAATCAGTAGAATTTAAAGTAGGCTTGAAAGTTTCTCTAAAATGACATCCAAGTTAGTAGAATCAACAAAATGAATAACTCCAGTCGATTCCCCGTCCTCGAAAACCCTTGAATACAAATTTACAGCTCAATATCTTCTTTTTCTACAGCTTCAATGCAAAAGAAAAATCTCTGAAGTGTTCTTCCGGGTAATCGCTCGCCATCTGGCATAAACTTCTGTTATAGAAGTCTTCCTTTTCGCTTTAAATTGCATTCGGATGACTAGCTTTATCAAACCCCTTTAATCCAAAGCTTACCGGTTGGCTCTAAGGGGCTTCCCTTTTGGATTTTGAACGAATTGTTCAAATGTGATGGGGGGAAACGTTTTGCGCATTATATCAAAGAAAAAGACGACAGGAAATGTGCACAGGGCACCAGGAAGTAGATCTCCACCAGTCACAACCTCAAGAGAAGACAAGGCACTTGTGTTGGTGCAGAAAAAGGCGATTCTCAATGCCTCCGATGGCGTCCATCAAGCAACAATTCAACAAAGATATCAATTGGATGAGATTGAGCCGTCGCCTAACTCGACATAGAATTTGGAAAAAGTTTATTTAGTCAAAATTAGTCGTAAAATTTTGTAAATGTGGCATTTTTTTGTGCATCACTGTATTCAAGGTTGAAACTAATCTAAAAGCTGATTTCATCCTTTAAAACCTGATAAATTATCGAGAAACCGATTTGCTTTAATCGAGATCCGTCCTGGCTCTGATCTGGTTGATTTGATTCAGAAAAGTTCAATCTTTGAGTTCAATTTGTCAGTTGTTGGCTGTTGTTGTTGGCAGTTGGCTCATTTTTCAGTTGTTGGCTGTTCCCTTCACATGACGATGGGCTATGCTCTCGAAAGGTTCATTGCAATGAGAAATCTCGAAAGTTATGAACAAAAATTCCCGACAAATCGACTAGGCTGGAGGATTTTGTTTTCTTTGGTAAAGTTTAACTTTAAATCTTCAACTACCAATTTTTCCAGGCTCTATTCGAAGTGATCGAAGCGATGCTCTTTTTTCAAAAATGGGCTGTTTCATGGGTTATCTTCATCACTTCATATTTCATTCACTTTATCGCCATTGTGGTAAGATATTGGGTTGGTGAATTGAAAACTGCGGGACTTTGAACTAAAATTTATTGCACATAAAACCATGAATTCATTCCAAATAATTTCCATTATTATTGACGACTTCTGCTCATTTTAGAGACAATTTGCGGATTCCTCTTTCGTAGTAGGATTTTGGTTTTGAATCGAAAAACATTTCGAGCCAATTTTTGACTGCTTCTTCGGAATCGAAATGTTCTCCCGCAAGCTCATTTACTCATGGTCCGGAATAAATAGTAATCAGAAGGGGCGAGGTCCGGACTGTATGGGGGATGTGCCAAAAGTTCCCAAACAAGGCTGTTTATTTTAGAGCGAGTCAGTTTTGCAACATGAGGGCGCGCGTTGTCGTGGAGGAGAACGATCTTTGACTTGAAGGGCCTATTCTTCTTTAGGGATTCATTCACCTTTTCCAACTGTTCATTGTATTCCATTGTATTAAAGGTCGTCTTGCTATCCAGCAACTCCCAGTACACCACTCCCTTCATATCCCAAAGTGCTCAAACTGTGGCATATGACAATAGACAATCTGATTTTGGTTTGTGTGTGAGACAAGTGTGAGACTCAAAAATGAAGGACTGGAGATGTCCCAGTTTGAGCACTTTCTTTAAAAGAAACCCATTTTGGTGTCAATAGAAAAGTTGTAGAGAATCAAAAATAAAGCTTATATCCAAATTTTCAGAACGATTCAAAAACTGGTTTTCAAGAAATGCCAAATTTACGAATTTTCACAAAACTTGCATTTTAAGCGAAACTACTAAGTGTATCTTTTTGAAAATTTGGCTTTAAGCCTAATTTTTGATTCTCTACAACTTTTCTATTGACACCAAAATGGGTTTCTTTTGAAGAAAGTGCTAAAACTGTCACATATGACAATAGCCCGCAGTTTTCAATTCACCAACCCAATATTTGCTCAAGATTTCATTGGACATATTTAGTTTTTCATCAAATTGTATTTCGTTTGCAAGCAGAAATATTTTGCAGTTTATCAAAAGAGATATTGCACAGTGGAGGACAGGTATTTGGATAGATCTAATTGGATTTGGATAGATCTAAAACATTTAAAAGACCACGAAACGAAAGTTGATTGTTTTTATCTTGAGAATATTCAATTATTCATTTATATTCAACTTTTCAATGGAAACATTTCAGGTACAGTACTCTGTCAAACTACAAAGCTTCTCGTGTCATGCTATTCCTTGCTCCATACAAAAGTATTACCTCTATCTTTGTGATTGCCAATTACGAATACGTGGCTGGTTATTCCCTCTATACACAAACATTTTTCATCTTTATTTTCTATTATTTAGCTCATTTTCAGGTAGTTATTCTAAAGTTGATAAACAAAAAACAAAGCTTTAGATCCAAGGTCAAATGTGGTTAACAATATTTTACGAACCAGCTTTGAGGAGTAAATTTCTGGAGTTAACAATGTCTAATAATAAGGTATTGAAAGCCTTTTTTGCTTACTTCAGTTATTTTTAGATTAAAACAGAGCAAAGCCTCAATAATGCTTTTGGTAAAAAGTTGAAATATGAGAATTATGAACAAGGCGATGTTTATTTTCGACAGTTTACGACGATGTGGAAATGAGAAGGGATAGAATGAATAGAAATGAGAATTTGCTCACGAAAACGGTTCCAAATAATTGGTTTCTTGTTCCAAATGATCGGTTTTTTGTTCCAAATACAGTTCCGTCAAACAAAATCAGAAAATTCACATGATTTTCTATTCAAAGAAACATTTGAAAGACTGACAAATAGCCTAGGATTAGTGCACGATCCTTACAAGTATTGCTCGTTTTCCAAACAGTGAGTAAAACTGTGATACTCTTTTGCCTGATTCACTTTCATTTAAGGTTATTTGGTGTGGAATAAAACTGTGTATTGAATAGTCAAAAAAGATCAAAAGCGTCGAGTCAAAATGAATGAAAGTGAACAAACAGAATTGCAGAAACATTGATCATTAATAGTCTATTGGCCCTCCTTTAGCTTGAATGGCTTTTTCTATCCGTCTGGGCATCGAGTCGACCAAATTGTGCAAAACTGATGATCCAATTTGATTCCATACAAGACGTAGACAGAGTCAAAGCTCGACTTTGGACGAAAAGTGTTTCTCATTCAATTTCGCTTTCACAATCGATTCTCGATAACGTTCAAATCTGGTGAAAAGGGAGGTGCTTTAATCAAAGAAACACCATTAATCGCAAACCAGCCCGAAAATCCAAAGAAGGGCCAATAGACTATTAAATTTACTAATACATATGACCACCAGTGTATGTGCAAACGCAGCTTTTCAAATGATGATCAAATGATGAGACTCTGGATGATCCAGCTATACTTTAATGATCAATAATCCAGCTAAATTAAAAAAAACTGCTAAACAATCCAAAATTACGTAAAAATACTTAAAAAGAAACAAGATTTGAGATAAAATAACGAAAAATCGGAGCACAATGTAAAAACATTTCTGATAGTTTTTGGTCCCTTGATCATTGCCTTATTCTTTTCAAAAAAAGGCATCAAAGCTCTGAATTAACTTTTTCTTTGACTTGACCTTTGAGAATCCCTCATTTTGATAATTTTACTTATTTGACTCTTTCAAACTCTTCGAAACTTATAGTCATTGTTGTTTTACTGTTGCAATGTAAAGAGACAGCTTTCCTTGATTCAAATGTTTTCTAAAGAGTGCGTTAACGAAAAACCACAGTAATCCTCTCATTTTACGTGAAAACGACAGCAGAGTACGATAGCTTTTACTATCTTTTCGCAGAATTCTGTGGGGATTCTAAAGACAAGCCTTGTAGAAAAGCTACAATACTCCGATTCTCTTTTTTGTCGAAGCAACTACAGAAAGTTCTGTTCTTTTTAAATCCACTATTTGAATCTCTGATTTACATTCTTTTATAAGTGTTTATACTCAAAAGATACCCAATTTTTCACAGAATTGAAATCTTATTACCTTTTTTAAATAACTTCTTTAAATTTTGAGTTATCACAATTTGCGTGAGCTCTGCACCAGTTATTAGTATTACTAATATAAGAAAATCTGTCAGACTTAGAACTTAGATGATTAGGAGTATTCAAAAAATTGTTTATCCTAGTGTCGTGTTTGAGGCGACAATTTTCTACTGGCGCATTCTGCCGGATTGGCTTCCGTTTGTTTCTGCTTATACGATTTGTTGCTTATACTTATACGGTACGTCTTGGTATGAGTTCTTATTTAAAAATAGACATTCGAATAACAGCTAGATCATTTTGACAACGATGCAACGATAGTCTAGACCTTAGATTATACAGGACAGAACTTTCGCCAGTTCCTGTAGAAGGATACTGTAACTTTTAACATCCTTTACCTCGATCCTTTAAAAGAAAATGGTTTGGAAAACTATAGCATTTCGTTTTCTTGATAAAAACCGGCAAAGTACGGTAGCTTTTAACATCTTTTACATCAATTTTACCTCTTTTACACTGAATTACTGTAGCAATAAAGTGAAGCTCTCATTTTCCATAAAATTAGATTAGAAGTACGGTTTTTTTTCTTAAAAACATTTTTTAGAAAGTATTTTATCCATCAGCACACAGTTTATAAAAGTTTGATCAGCTAGATCAGCTAAAAAAGCACAGTCTGATCTCTTGAAACGCCTCTTTCATCGTTGTTTTTGTAAGCATAAAGTCTGAGTGAATGAGTTTACCCAATTCTGCACAATTCGGCTTAATTTCATGAATACTCGCTCGTTTGCTCAAAATAATTCTATTATCTTCGAAAAATTCAATATTTTCCGCTTAATCCAGCGGATTTACGTGACTCAAATCTTCAAATCAGCCTCAAATTCGTCTTTACATTCTAAAAACATTCAATCTCTTCAATTCCCTCAATTTCTTTTCTTTTCTTGCAATGTATGTACTAATTATTTGATACATTTTTTCGTTTTTTGCGTTATTAATGAGAAAAATACAGCGCCGAAGGGAAATTTCATTCATTTCCCCCATTTGAATGACCGACCATGGAGTTCTTGTTCATCCGGCACTCTTTGAGCAATATTTCGTTTATCTAATGGTGAGTTTAAAGCTTGAAATGGTAGATTTTTGTTGAAAAATACTTCTGATTATGTCATAATTACTTTAATTACTTGATTTCGATGATTCGGTTACAATTTACTAAGCTCAGAGTTGGACCAGAGGCCGGAAGCTAGTCAGGTCTTGGCCTTTACTCGGACTGGTCTGGCCTTGGAAATTTTAAAGCATACTTTTTATACTTTAAAAACACACATACTCACATACTTAATAGTCACAAGAAACATTTTTATACTTGTGAGAAAAAAGAGAAAAAATTGGTGGCAACCGGAATTGAACCCGCGAGCAAAGATGGTCTAGGTCTCGTAGTCTAGCCCAGTATCCTCCAGGCCTGCTTTCGCTACCTTTCCCTCTTAGCTTTGCCCTCTTAGCTTTCGCTAAGAGAGCATCTATAAGAGAGCGCCATGCCGAAGGCTCCTTTCTCTTCTTATAGGTGTGGTTGGGAAAAATTGCTGAAACTTTGGACCCTTTTTTTCTCGAAAACCAGAGTCTTTGAGGCAAAAATAAAAAAATACGTGTTTCTTAGAATCCTACGGGGGCATTTTGGAGTTAGGTGCGGTTTCAAAAATCGGTGGTAAGTTGAAATAATTCCCTAGTTAGTGCTGATAAGCCTCGAGATCTCGATAGTCAATTCCTAGTTCCAAGGAAATGGAATGGTCTGTCACAAGAGCCACTGCCCGACTAATAGTAAGGCCATAAGCCTTACTATTAGTCGGGCAGTTACTATTACTATTAGTCTTCTCAGGCTTATGGCCTTACTGGCAGTTTCCTGCTCAGTTGTATTTGCTTATTTGTATAAAGTTTCTAGTTTTTTTGTTAGACTAGACTTATCTACTATATATGTCGCAGCCGCTCGTGATTTTCAGCCGCTAGTTTCGCTGATTCAATCACTAACGGCTAGTCGATGGTGATTGAAAGTTTTTTAACGAAACATTTGACCGATGGTGATTCAATCACGAGCGGCTGCGGCATATATGTCGTAGCCGATTATGAATGAGTGGGTCTAGGAGCGTCCAACCATCAAGTATTTAGTATCATTCAACGCAGAATCATTCATAATTATGTTAAATTTTTAAAATTAGAAAGATTGGATAAAAAGAACACAAATTATGGGGCTTCAAAGTTTTCCCTTGAACAAACAGTTCTTTTGCTCTAATTTTTTTTCTTTTCATCAAATCTTGCTAATTTTAAAAATTTAATATAATTATCAATGATTCTGCGTTGAATGATACTAAATACTTGATGATTGGACGCTCCTAGACCCACCCATTCATAATCGGCTACGGGGGTCCCGCCGATTTTGAATGAAACGTTGTAGCGCCGGCAATTTTTAACCTAAACTCACAAATTTGGTACCAATCGACGCAGAATTCAATTCGCTACAAGATGATATAATATTGTCCTCATACATTAAAGGGTTGCTCTACTAGAAAGATTTGCCAAAAAATTTCATTCATAATCGGCTGCGACATATATAAAGCAAAAGAGACGTCTGTCCGTCCGTCTGTTTGTGCGTAGCCATTGGCAAAAAGGGGCGGGACTTAGATTGTGTGGAAAATGCTAACGCTAGTGAGCGTTTTCCACTAGTAATACAATAATTTTTTGCTATTAGGTTTAGGATTCAGGAATGGACAAAGTTTTTCCAGTTTGATCTATCCAAGAATGGTGAAATTGTAAAGTTAGCTCTGTCTCACAATCAGCTAGACTAACCAGTTAAGTTCTAGCCTATTTAACGCTTGTTTTCCACTGATCACTGACTAACCATTGCTTTGGTGATTTTTGTTCTAACCTTTGTCCTTAAAAGCTCAAACTAACAAATTTAGATCCTCGAGCTTTGCACATTCAGCTCATTAATGCTTTCGTACGCATTGTTCCAACGATTGTTGACTTCAAAAAGGGTTAGTTGCATCGTGATTCTGCTTTGCTGCATCGTGATTGTGAAATCAGCTCATTCGAAAGAAAAATTTACCACGAACAAATTATAAAAGTTCTTTTTTTACTCAATTTGAACTTTTGGAGTTTAAAAGCTTTGAATTTCCAGATTTTCCACCCAAATCTGACAACGATTCTACTCTTTCAACCGATATTTCTGATCATCGCGACTTTTATTCGCCAATTCCGTCATATCCTTCAAGTCATCAATTTAATCAATGGATTTTCTTTCCAAATTTGCTCTTTCTTCTCAGAAGCACGTTAGTTTTGAAGATTTCAAAAACAATCATTGAATAACATGTCATTTTCTGCTTCAGTGGAAATTTCTTTTGAAAAGCATGTAGGCGAGCAATTGTGATTGAATTTCTCAGTAATTTTATCAAAACAACTAAAAATTACTTGTTCTTTGTAGCAAGAAACAAGGCTAAATCTGTTTTTTTAGAAAACTGTTTTTGTTGAACCTGAAAACAGTGCAGAAATTAGTTTTAACAAGGAAGTTGTTTGGCTTTATGTGATCTTTCTAAAAATTGAATGGTATGAATCCAAAACTAGAATTGATTTCGGAATAAAACCTTAAGAGTGCAGTGTTAATCAACGTTTGACATGCGTAAGGTAATTAGGTAATTAGGTTTAGGTCTTCAGGTAATTAGACTTTCACGGTAAGGCTACTGGATGTTTTTACGTGTCGTTGAGCCAATTCTATCAATATCTCTTGCATAGTTTTAGTCTAGATTGTCTTTGCAATCCTTAAATTACAAGTAGGATAACAATACTTAGATCTTCGGATCATGAAATCTCATGTAACTAAAGGATCTTCGAATCCGGACGTGAATCTTTGGATCTGATTGTTTTTTATTAATTTAATTATAAATCTTCATAGATTGGCTTTATAGATCTTCATAGATCATTAGATTTTATAAAATCTAACGATTTTTCTATATAATAGAACTTTTTTCTTAATAAGTTAGCTAATAGTAAGCTCTTGATCTGTACTTGTACTTAAGACTCGAATCGATTGAGATTGAATCGAATAAAAGCACATCAGAAAGTGGCAACAAGTAAATCTAGTGGTTAAAATACTTACTTTAGAAAACTCTTAAGCTTTCTGCCTAGCTTTGAAAAGATTTTTACGCAATTTTCAGTTGCCGCTGTGTGTCTAAACATGACCTCAAGCTACGCCATCGAACGCTACATTGCGATGCGGAATCTTGAGAATTACGAGAACAAATACCCAAATAATCACATCGGATTGAAGATCATTTTGGGAACGGTAGACTTATCCCCAAAATTACCCCAACTAATCTCCATTTCAGCTAACCCTTTTGGTATTTGACCTAATTGTTTTCTATACGAGTCTCTTGCCGGGTTGGTTAGCTTATGGGATCAGCTACGTTGTGCAAATTGTCGGCATCTTTGTGAGTAAACAAATTTTCCTCTAATTTCTAACAAATTTCACTCTAATTTCTTTTTTAGTTTTTTTATCACGTTTATAGAATTTGCAAGCAGAAATATCTAGAGGTTTGGCAGAAGAGATATTCGACAATCGATGCGAGGTGAGTTTTCTATTGAAAGACGAGTATTAGTATAGACCAGTTGAATAAGTGCTCTAAAGCGTTAAACAGATTTTTCTGAAAGGATTATTCTGAAATTTTGCTAAGACTTTTTGTGCGCTATCTTCTCTTACTGTCATTAAAATAGGTTTGATTGGAAGCAACGGTCCAAATCTAATCAATCGGACCTTGTCGTCTTTGAACACTCGGATTTTTGATAATGAAAAACCTTCAAAACAAAGCTTTTCAGAAGCTTTCAAAAGCCATTTGCAAGAGAAATGATTAAGCCATCTGAAAAAAACCGTATTTTATTTGGTAGCTTGAGACTTATTCAATTAGGAAATGAATTTGGGTGAAAGATTTACAAGGGAAGGTCAACTGGCTAGCCAAATGCTATGCGACCTATGCCATTCGACGCAGAATTTCATGCTGATTCCGGATATATATTCCGTTTTTTGCTAAATGACAATCTGCAAGGAGTTATAAGCGTCTAAAGTTTTGTTAGGACGCTGAAAATGTACTATCTAAATCTTTTTTTTTTTTTTTTTTTTTTTTTTTTCTTTTTTTTTTTTTTTTTTTCCTTCTTTTTTTTTTTTTTTTTCCCCTCCTCTTTTTTTTTTTTTTTTTCCTTCCCTCTTTTTTTTTTTTTTTTTTTTTTTTTTCCCTTTTTTTTTCCTTTTTGTTTTTTTTTTTTTTGGTTTCTCTTTCCTTTTTTTTTTTTTTTTTTTTTTTTTTTGGGCCCCTTCCCCCTCCCCCCTCCCTTTTTTTTTTTTTTGGTTTCCTTTCTTCTTTTCTTTTTTTTTTTTTTTTTTTTTTTTTCTCTTCCCTTCCCCCCCCTTCTTTTTTTTTTTTTTTTTTTTTTTTTTCCCCCTCTTTTTTTTTTTTTTTTTTTTTTTTGTTCGTCCCTCTTTGTTTCTTTTTTTTTTTTTTTTTTTCGTTTTTTTTTTTTTTTTTTCTTTTCTTTTTTTTTTTTTTCTTTTTTTCTTTTTTCTTTTTTTTTTTTCTTTTTTTTTTTTTTGTTTCCCCTTCTTTTTTTTTTTTTTTTTTTTTTTTTTTTTTTTTTGTTTTCCTCTTTTCCCTTTTTTTTTTTTTTTTTTTCGGGGGTCTCCTCCCGTCCTTTTCTTTTTTTTTTTTTTTTGTGTTTTTGTTTTCCCCTTTCTTTTCCTTTTTTTGGGTTTTGGGGGGGGGGCCCCTTTTTTTTTTTTTTTGTTTTTTGGGTTTTTGGGGGCCGCCTGCAGTTTCAATTCGGTCATTTGGGTCTTAGGGGCCGCCTTGCAGTCTCAATTCGGTGCAGCCGTGGCCGAGTGGTACAGCGCTCGCTTTCAGAGCAAGGCTTCGCGAGTTCGATCCCCACTTAGGATCTTTCTTTCCTTTTTTCAAGAAGTGCTGTCTAGGGTTCTTTGTGTGAAGTTTCTTGTTATCTATTTCATATTTCTTGTTGGTAATAGCATTTCGCCGGCTCAGCCAGTTGACCTTTCCTTGTTATTACTCAACACAATTGTTTGTCCGTGAAATCGTGTCGCAGTTCAAACCTCTGATCTTTAGATCAATCTGACTTTAGATCAGTCTGACTTTAGTCTGTTGTAGAGCAATCTCCATTTGTCTGGATTACGGTAACACTTATGGATTACGGTAGACAAGCACGATTGTAAGCTCCTATCCAAGTCAAAAAAAGCTAGGAAGCCTTGCAAGTCTCCATAGAACAAATCTAAGATAACTTCTGAATGTCCTGATGATTGATAACTGTTCAATTACTGCAAAAAAAGTTTCCTTTCTCCAGATACAACACTCAAGGCAATTTCAAAGCGTCTCGTTTACTTTTACGATTAGCTCCATACAAATCGATTACATCTATGCTATTGTTAGCTGAATATCAATTTCTTGTTGATCGAACTCTTTATGCTCAAACGTTCTACACATATGTGTTTTTCTATTTAATGCATGCACAAGTGAGACTGATTTTCAAAAACGTATTCAAAGAACTTTTTTTAGATAATTATCCAAATGTGGTTGATCATTTTCTTGGAGCCGATGATGAAATTAAAATTGAAAGCTATGTTCAGGCCGAGGGTATGTTGTTAGCTTTTAATTTTGACTCTAAAATTTAGGTGAAACCAGTCGTACCTACACTTCGAAACGTCTTCGGAGAGCAGCTCATTTACAATAATTTCGAGGAAAGCGACATATATTTTAAACATTTCAATGCAATGTTGAAATGATGAGATAAATATTGGAAAAAATGGCACTTCTTATTGTTAGAATATCGTGGGATTGACCACAATCTGATCTGTTTTAAGAGCAGAGTCGGCTCATCTTCCTAGAATTGGAATAAAGCTAACAAAAACATATTCCTACTACAGTGTAACAACTTTTTCCTTTATGAATCTTCGCCGAAAACCTCTAACCGTTCTAAAGAGTACTCCAGTTACTGTAACTCCGATAACGTTAGCTGGTCTAGGCTTACAGTTTACGGTAGCTGACCCACGTTTTAGAGGATCTGCCTGCGTCCTGAGATATTAAGATATCGATTTTTATCATCATGTCAACTTGGAGTCTAGTCGAGGAGCTTTTCAAATCAATTTAACAAATTTATACTGCTGAAAGGACTCAAAAGTTTCCAAACGTTTAAAAAAATACGTTTTTTAGCTCTTGGGTTGTTTAGAGGACTTTTGCAAGTCTAGAGGACTTTTGCAAGTCTAGAGGACTTTTGCAAGCCTAGGGGACTTTTGCAAGTCTAGGGAACTTTTGCAAGTCTAGGGGACTTTTGCAAGTCTAGGGAACCTTTGCAAGTCTGGAGGACTTTTAAATGGGTAGTCAAGCTCTAAATGCTTATAACTTTTTACAGAGACAAGATTTTCATTTACTTTTTTGAATATTTTAAAAGTAGAAATATCAGCTTTTCAAATGAGACTGTATAGAGCTGAATTAGTTAAATTAGACTCGAGGAATCAAAGCAGAAGTGAGCAAACCAACAACGACTGCAATCAATTGATTTTCTCGAGGCTGCTCTATCCAATTCAGTTTTATTTAGTCTCATTTGAAAGCCCAACATTTCTTCTTTTAAAATATACAAAAAGCAAAGAAAAATCTTGTCTCTGTAAAAAGTTATAGACATTTAAAGCTTGACTATCCATTCAAAACTCCCTTAAACTACTGAAGAGACCATTTTTCCTAGTTTACTATAGAAAAGTCCTACAGTCTGTTCCTCTGACAACGTTTTTCATTCAACCAAACAATTCTTTCAAATAGTGCAATAGGACTGTTGGGTGACGGGGAAAGGAAAGGTTAATTCGAACAACCAACAGTAGTGGAATGAAGAATGAAGGGACCTCGACTTTTGTCGTCTCTCCACCATCTTTTCCCTACGACTTAGTGAAGCCGACCTCTAATCTCCTTCGTTATGGAAGCTAATGTGGGTTGGGAGTGGGGAAAAGAAAAGACTCAGCCTTTGATCACTCAGCCACCCTCCGACCAAATCACTTACAGACAGATACAATCACGTACAGTTGATACTATTTTTGGCTAGCTAATATTTCTGATATTGTCTTTGGAACTTGTGATCAGGTATTGTCAGGTATATTTCTATATTGTCTTGTCTTGTCAATATAGTCTTGCCTGGGGTATTGCATTACTCCAGGCAGTTGTCTGCCTGGAGTAATACAATACTCCAGGCAAGACTCCAGGCAAGACTCCAGGCAAGACTCCAGGCAAGACTCCAGGCAAGACTCCAGGCAAGACTCCAGGCAAGACTCCAGGCAAGACTCCAGGCAAGACTCCAGGCAAGACTCCAGGCAAGACTAATACATAACTCCAGGTTATTGTCTTAAGAACTTGTCTTTTACTAGCCGTTAGGTTAGACAAGCTTGTTTAAGTTCGGGATTTGAGATTTGAGAATCGAAACTTTATAAACATCGTTAAAAGTTGTAATAGAGTGCTTAGAACATTAAAATATAATGTAAAGGCATCAGAAAAAGAATTTTTCAAAAAGCGCTAGGGAGGGGATTCGAACCCAAGCCAGGGAAGCCTTGGTCAATATCCCAACACACTATCCATATCCACACACTATCCATATCCCAAGATCAATATCCCAAGATCAATATCCCAACACACTATCCACTAGACCACCGAAGCCGTTCCCAGCTTTGTTTGTAGCGACCCCATGAAGAGTCCGAAGGGATTCCTTGTGTAAGGAAAATTTAAGAGATTTCTATGCCAGATTCCTTGTGATTGCCTAGGTGTTTGCAGCTAATTTGTGCAGATTCCAAATCAGCATAGCCGATTCCATAAAATCCACTCTGTCACGAAGTCATTCTGAACAAGGAGCTGGAGCAGTTCCTTAAATTCTCACTCTCAATTCTCACTCTCCTTAAATTTCCCATTTCCCATTTCGGAATCTTCATGAAGCCGCCATAAAGCAGCTCCAATAGTCTAGTGAATAGTGTGTTGAGCTACTGAGCTATCAAAGCCTCTCTGGCTTGGGTTCGGATCCTCTCTGGGCCATTAGTTTTGTCTTTCACTTGTTCGGATCCTCTCTGGGACATTAGTTTTGTCTTTCCCTTGTCGAAATCAGCCTTTAATCTACCCAATCAACCAACATTGTTTAATATTGTTGTTGAATCTGTTGTTGAATATATTGTTTAATACCTCATTGTTTAATATTTTTAAACATTCTAGCGATAAGTACAATTTCACAAGACATTTTCCCCAAATCTTTCAAATGACCTCGATTTCTCATTTGACAATGTCGTCTCCTATCAATCTCGACAAATTTGTTTGTGTGTTGAGCCCAATTTTCGTGATCACTTGATATTAAGAAAAATACGCTGCTTGATCAGCTATTTCTTTACTGTACTTGACTACTTTTTTTGATTTACGTGACTACCAAAACCATTTACATTGATCTCAGTGTTGGAGTTCTGATTCAAGAATCAAATTCCATCTCTAAATAAGGCTGGTTTATTGCCAGCTCTAAATAAAGCTGGTTTATTGCCAGCTTGCAGGCCAACAGTTCTGTGCTTTATTGCTTACAAAAGCTTGGCTTTTCAATCTTTAAATCAATGACCGGAAATGACAAGATTCCTCCATTTCTCTTGATATCTAGCAAATGCAGACAGGAGATCGGCGCTTGAGAGTCTGTTGGTGGATAGACAGAGAAGACATTGATAATCACATAGGGAATTGAGCAGAGCTATCGGGAAATCATTCGATTTTGCGTGGGTGCTTTCAATGTGTACATTTTATTCTCATTTTGCTTTGACTCTTGTTTTTGATGTACTCCAGGTGACTTTTACAATGTATAACTACGGTAATTTTCTTCTGAAAATGACTAATGAAATGATCAAAGAAATCTAATCTAATCTAATCTAGGCTTTAGAAAGCCTGAGCCTTTAGAAAGCCTGAGCCTTTAGAAAGCCTGAGCCTTTAGAAAGCCTGAGCCTTTAGAAAGCCTGAGCTTTTAGAAAGATTCGTAACCAGGGGTTTAAAAAGTCTGCGCAAAGTCAACTAGGGGCAAAGCATTTCTCTAATCGGTTTTAAAACGTGGAAATCTTTTGGACATCTTTTGAACATTTACCGTAATCTTTCCCGTTTAGTAAATTCTGGCCTTACTAAACAACTCGTTCTTGTTTGTATAGTGTTAATCTTGATTCTTTTGGTCTAGTCTACGGAAAAAACTATGTAAAATGAATAAAATCAGAAACTAGGACAGGAAAAGAAGTGATATTAACAAAATTAAAATAAAATTGTTAAGATTTTTGATAAAAGGTAGAAGAAATATGTGTTTTGCAAGGTTTTGCAAGGTTTTGCAAGGTATTCCAAGGTATTGCAAGGTTTTTGCAAGGTTTTACAAGGTTTTGCAAGGTATTCCAAGGTTTTGCAAGGTTTTGCATGGTTTTGCAAGGTATTGCAAGGTATTGCAAGGTATTGCAAGGTTTTTGCATGGTTTTGCATGGTTTTGCATGGTTTTTGCATGGTTTTGCATGGTTTTGCAAGACTTTACAAGGTTTTGCATGGTTTTGCATGGTTTTGCAAGACTTTACAAGGTTTTGCAAGGTTTTGCAAGGTATTGCAAGGTTTTACAAGGTTTTGTAACGTTTTGTAACGTTTTGTAACGTTTTGCAACGATGCTTTCTTCAAAAACTAACAAATTCGATTGTTTTGCTTTTTTTAATGCTGTTCTGGTGCAAATTGTGAGAAGATTTTAAAGAAATTTAATGATTTTCAAACAAAAATAGCTTAATTGATTGGCTAGAAGTCGATTTTGAATCCAAAAAAAGTAGTTGAGCTAAATTTTTGCAATGGAGTGTAGGCGAAAGATAGATTACGGTAACTAGAGACAGAAAACGATCGTTTTAGACAGAGAACGGTCGTTTTCTTTCTTTCTTTTGTAGCCTTTTGTGCAAATGAACCTTATTCGATGAAGATGACACATTGGATGTCTGCCAGTCGGCAAATTTGTCCCCGTTTTCTTTTCCAAATGACATTGATATCCGTATCTTTATCACCAAATTTCCCCACATCGACTCCACTCATCAATTCAATCAAATCATCCAGCGCCGAATCGTTAAAATGTGCTTTCATCCTAGCTTTTAGTTTTATGAGTCACTTGGAATCGATTTGATTCGAATATTGTAATCTAATTGATCTCGATTATCTATTGGTTATTTCCTGAATATCTTTTAGATCATAGAAATCGTTCTTGTTAATTCTTGTTAATGTTCTTTTTAATCCCAACCCAATTCATTGACGTTTACCCAAATTGTGACCGTAATTACAGGCATCGATTTGAGAGGAAATGCCCGTGAGATCGTTCACAAACTGGTTTCTCGTTACCAAACAAAATTCTATTTTATTGAGAATGTAAAATATACAATTTCCTTAACAAATTACCGTATTCTCTCTAATAGTAGTGCGCACTACTATTTTTTGAATCCCCTCCTGGACCGCAATACTATTAGAGAGTGCAGTACTATTAAAGAGTTTTATCATTTACCAAAGTAAGACAGATATAAGATTTGTTCCAAAAATTCTTGCAACCCTTTCACGTACTCCTTTGGCTCCTTTTGACATACAGTTGTGGGCCGGCGAGCTGACAATTACCGTAGTAATTGTTTGTGTTTGTGTCTTGACAAACAACAAAAAGATGTTTTTGCACTTTTGCACAAC